GAAAAAACAGACCAATAAATAACGCGGCACGCAAACGCTATGAAGGCATAATAAAGATATAAGAAAATATAGACATAAGTAAATACTTCAATTTCTGTAATTAAGATACAAATACGCATATATCATACATGTATTATGCATAAATTATAGCATTATAGTTTTTAATTATTTATAATGTTTCTGCAATGTTGTTTTAACATTTCCGATGGAATGTTACAATTCCATGTTTATGTTATGTTTATGTAATGTTACGTTGAAATTTGAAATGATGTAACGTTCCTGCAATGTAACTGCAAGCTTCTGTGCTGTATGGATCAGGACGGTGACCCCTACAACATTTGTCAAGGTCAAGGTCATAGCTGCTGGGACCGTTTTTCTAAAGATTTACCATAATATTTTAATGAAACAAGGAAAAACTACAAAATTAAACAAGTACAAATATTAAATCTAAAGAAAGTGTTTTCTCCGAAAAAATGGTATAAGAAATATAAGGAATATGTAATAAGACAAATTCTAGTATTAATGACTGCCACTAAACAAGTACTATTCTAAGTACTATTCTATAAGCTGTATAGAACAACAATTTATTCTAGAAATATTTTTAATATAATTATTATAAAGCTTTAATAAGAATATATAAGTATTATATTTATATATTTATACAATATTAATATATTATTGTGAGCAATATATTTCAACTTGTTCTTTTAATATTTTCAGATATAACAATATAATATTTATAGATTTGTCTATTGTAGACCACAATATTTTGCTGTTATAATTATAAATATTTTTTCATTATATTTTACAAATATATTATAAATATTTTTCGTATTTAGTTTTGTTTTCTTTCTACCCTTATAGAAATATCATACTAAGAATCATTGATAATTACTTATTATCCAGTATTTTTAATACTGAAAATAAGTAATTATCAATGATTTTTAGTATGATATTTCTATAAGGGTAAATCTTTATAAAAAATATATATTCAATATTTGTAACATATTTATGTAAACTATTTCTTCAAAATATTTATGAATCTTTATCATAAATAATATTTCATTTTTGTGTGCTATCTAGGTACTTATACGCATTAAATATCACAATAAGCACAGTATCCGGAGCATTTCCATATTTCTACAATTATATCACATGTAATATACACGTACTCAAGTAAACCTACTCAAGTATTATACTCTGATTTTGATAAACTTTTAACATGTTGTTGTCTAGATCTAAATAAGAGACATATTTTTTTATACGTACCCATACTCCTTATAGAAATATCATACTAAGAATCATTGATAATTACTTATTATCCAGTATTTTTAATACTGAAAATAAGTAATTATCAATGATTCTTAGTATGATATTTCTATAAGGGACGGCCGGTAAGAATCGTGAAACACTCTTGAAAAAAAATCGATTTTAATATTTCTGAACAAATATTATCGGAACGATAAATATGCGGTAAGAAAAGTTTCAAATAAAAGTTTTATGAATTTTAATGAGCTTTATAACAATGCACTCAAATTTTACAAAATTAAAGAAAAAGGCATTTCGAAAAAAATATTTTCGAAAAATCTGAGGGAGTATGTATTTTCATGGAAGAGACGTCATGAATCAAGATGACCAAAGAATCAGAGAAGTCTTAACTTGAAAATATTGGAAAGTTTATTTTTCACCAGTTTTTATAACAGAAGAAAATATTCATAATAGACTTCCAAATATTTAAACACAATACGTCTGACGCGAAAGCACCGAGCTTAGATACAAAATTTTCATCGGACTACAAAAACGTACGCGAGAGGACGCCGAACGCTGCTTCCAGAGCACCGCAACGCGTAAAGGCCAAATCACATTAGCAATTGACGATTGACGATTAACGATTGAAGATTAGATTTTGACGAATCAACGAGCTTCAACCTTGGCTTGCTTTGTTCCAATTGGTCAAGTTCCATTCTTCAATCGTCAATCATCAATCGCCAATCGCTAGTGTGATACTGGCTTTATGCTACGCACGCGACGCGCACAACTGATTCTCGAGCGTGACGTTGCGCGGCGTATTGACGCATGCTTTCAAAAGAGTGCTAAATTGAGCGCTCTAAGGGTCAGCGTCCGTCTGTGCAGCGCTGTAACGCTGGTTGCATAGTGCGTGGAGTGTGTATATTGTGAGAGGAAATAGCTGTATAATATAGTAACACGAAGCTTATATTCTTTTTTCTTTCTTCATTATCGTCATCATTTTCGTTATCGTCGTTATCGTTGCACGCGTGAGATTGCGAAATTCAATAGACTATACAACAACCGGACAAAGAGACCGCATGAAAAAAGAGCAGAATCCCGAAGAATATTGAATGAACGGAGCACACGTTAAACGAACTCACCAGCGTTCGTGTCGACAAGTACCTTCACGGGTACGCGCGCAGCAACTTGACCTGACTCGCTTGCTTGTTGACCGACCACAGTGGCAGGGATGGTTAGCCTATGAGGGCTCGTGCGTGAGATCGTTGTACTGCTACTTGGCTGATTGTGGATTCTCGCTTCGCTCAGCTGACGAGGACCCTGATACTCTTGCTCGCTCATTCGATCGTGAGATACGGTGAGAAAACGCGCGCGATCATCAGACAGCAGTGTTGGACTGAAGTTAGTTACTGATGCGTGCGGCAATTGTCGCCAAGAATTGTGTGCTGATATCGATATTTTTCGGTCGATAGTTTCACCACGTCGAAGATCGCATCACTCGCGGGGATAGCTGTGGCAACAAAGAGGTTAGGGTGGCCTCGCCACCGGGACGACGTTGACTCGACAGTTTTTTTTCGCTCGCGCCTTCGAAGAGTCACGCGTAACTAGGGACTTTGGCGACAGCGCGCTTGCACAGTATACGTACACACAGCGAACTGAACAGCTGATGCTTCAGCGATACCGGCAAAATGTCAAAACCCAGGCAATTTGTAAGTGAACATACGGCACGGCGGACGACGAACGATCGGCTGATCGAATCGTGAACACTCGATCGCGAGATCTTATGTTTCTCTTCGCAGTGTATATGCACCGCGTGAGCGAATCGCGGTTACGCGCGTTATATTGTAACATGTACTGAAAAAATTTCCAGACTCATTGAAAATAGAACGGGGACCATTCGGGGAACGTTCGGGCCCGTCATAGTATTATCCGTTTTGTGTCCGTCCCCGATTACTTGTATTTTCGATAACTGTACGAGCAGCAGCGTACGAGCTGATGTCAGATACACGCGCTTTTCTGCAGCAATCTGTTTTCATGACTTGATAGTTTCTCAGAGGCATAATTAATTATGTAACTTTCACATAAAATTTAAGAAATCAAAAGTCACTCTATATTAATACTAGTATATTTGAATTTTCTAATATTGACAATGTTTATAATGTAGGAATCTTCTCTTATGAAAATGATCGTTATCTTTCTATCCATCTTTCTTTGATATTTTATTTTCTTCAGTGTATTTATGTGTAGAGAAGTGTACTTATGTATAAAGAATGAAATAATTATAATATATACTATATGTTTTGTTACAAATAGTTTTATCTTATTATATAATGTTTAGATGATCATTTCTATTAAATAAATGTATATTTGTCTGTTATATCATTTTGTATTTATCTTTCTAGATTTTGCGTGTACAGTCATCAGAGGGAACAAAACGTATAGAAGTGCAGGCTTCTGATACACTCACTTGTCTTTACGAAAGAGTATATTTCAATCTTTTTATGACAATCAATGTTTTATGAATATATGGAATTTATTTTGTTTGTTTCTTGCCTAGGTATATGAATCTTTCAATTTGAATAGTTTTGAATTTAACCTGTGTAAGCAACGAAATCATAAGGATCCGCTTACATCTACTAAGAGTAAAACAGTATCAGAAATTGGTCTTTGTCATGGAGATATGCTTTATCTTGTACCAGTTAATGGTACACAGCTATGGAGCACTCCATCAACCAGCAGTACCACTGATAATATTTCTACAGGTATTAATTATTTATGTAATATCGAATATAATAACTAAGAGTATTATATGAGATAATAATTAAAATGAAGGACACATTATTATCAAGTATATGCAAAGATAGCAAAGATATTATGATTATAAAGTGATTATTCAAAAAGAATTTTATATACAATTAAATATATACTTTTGTAAGCACTATTTTCCTGTATTGATTGAAATATCGATGATAACAGAAAGATACACAAACTTGTTGTCTCACTTTGCATATGTATTTTTTTTAATTATAAATTAGAGATACAAAAGACTTTTAGAATGTACATACATACTATTCTTTCTGTATCTCAAAGATTACATTTTATATTATATATACAAAAAAGAAATATATATATATATATATATGTATATGTATATATATGTATATATACATATACATAAGGTAGAGCAATAATACTGTTGATCTCAAATATGTCTGCTATTTTAAGCAATACAGAAAAATAGTGGTTATACTTTATTGTTTCGGAGGAAACGTAACATAGTGACAGTGAATGGAGGTATATAAGAGATTTTAAGATTACTTTAAATTTTTTAAATAGAATTATATAGTTTTTCTAACACAAATTAATTTCTATGATTACATTCTATATATAAAAATATCAGAGTAAAATTATTGAAAAAACTTTTCAAAATATTTTCCAAAAAATTTTCCAAAATATTTTTATTTTATTCTAATATTTCTTAATATAAAATACGAAATATATTGTAAACTATTAACTTTCCGATAATTTCGCCTAAAAGCTTTTCAATGTAGAATGACGAAAGAAATCGATGGATGATATTAATCTTTGCACACTGATACATCAATGAATAGAACTTTGTTTAACGTTTCTCTATATATCTTTTACAATAACCGATTTCAGCTATCATGTACAAAAATATTAAGATGAGATTATCGAAAGATGAATATTTTAAGTTATTTCATATCTTGTGCTGAAAAATATTAGGTTAAGATGAAAAATATCTCGGAAAATATTCACTTTTCGATCATTTTACTTCAATATTCTTATACGCAGAATGTATGTGTGATCAAAGAAATATACTTGTGTTAGAAAAAAACCTGATTCTATTAATAAAAATTTAAGGCGCTTTGCTATGTCTATCTCTTTTTAATGACGTCAGAAACGAGTTAATGCATGCTAAAAATTCCTGCAAAATACGTTAAAATAAAAATATATATCCATAAAGTAACATTTGCAATCGATTAAACAAATTTGTAAGATAATCCGTGCACTCCCCTTTTGCTCTAACAATCAATAATTTATCGTAAATTGACGTGACATACAATTCATCTTCTTAACCTATTTTTCGCCTATTTCTACTCAGGTTAATTTACAATAAATTATTTATTGTTAAAATAAAAAAGGAGTGCACGGAATATCTTACAAATTTGTTTAATCGATTGCAAGTGTTACTTTATGGATATATATTTTTATTTTAATTATATATTTTTATTTCGGACGAATTTTAAGCATGCATTTTCTCGCTTTTGACGTCATTAAAAAGAGATAGACAATATGAGAGGCCAGGAGCCTTAAGAAAATCTTGAAATCTTCTACATATTTTTACTCAAAAAATAATAATTGTCACTATGTTACATCTGCTATGAAACCATATAACTTTTGTAAGCACAAAAGTTTATTTTCTTGTGTTGATTGAAATAGCGAAGATAACAAAGAGGTACACAGAGTACTGTCTCACTCTACATATATTTCTTTTTTTAAATTATAAATTAGAGATACAAAAAAGACTTTTCGAATTGTATATACATATTATTCTTTCTATATCTTAAAGATTACATTTTATATATGCAAAAGTATTATATATATATATATATATATATATATATATATATATATATATATTATATATTATATATGTATGTGTGTGTGTTTGTGTATAAAATGATATAGAACCAAGATCAATGGATACCACAGGAAGTACAAATCGTACATCCGGCCTGTCACGATCTCTGCCAAATGTAGTTGAAAATGATGTCGACGAGCAACTATGGAAACAAGATGGAAAAATCCAGCGTAAGCGTGACGAGAAGCTGTAAGTAATATCAAAAAATGTATAAGTAGTGTCAAAATAAAACAACGAAATTCGCTGTTTTACAGTTGTCGACATGGAGCAAGAGGATGCTGCGTGCATTGTTCGCCTTTGGAGCCTTTCGACGAAATTTACTTAAAGGAGCAGAATATCAAGCATCTGGCTTTTCACTCGTATCTCAGGAAGCTCACTGCCGGAGTTGATAGGTATGTACAATAAGAAAATACATATTATAATTTTACATGTACATATACATATCTATTCATATACACAAGCAAAATCGATTGATGTGAAAAAAGAGATACAAGAAAACGACTTTATTGCATTTTGTAAATGCATTGAGATATCTATGTTTAAAAATTAATATTATGAATCAATTCCTTTTATCATTATATTTATAAAAGTATTAAAGTAAGATTATCAGAAGTGAATACTTTACGAGATATATCTTATACTCTAAAACTAGTCAGAATAAAGTGTAAAATATCTCGGAAAATATTCAGTTATTAATTATATCTTATCTCAATTATATGTAATATGTACTTATATTACGTATATTATATATAACATATAATATAACACATATATATATATATATATATATATATATATATATATATATATATATATATAAAACATATATATCTATATTATATATAACATGACAAGTAAAATCAATTTATATCATGAAAACCATATAATTCTATTCAGAAAATAGAATAAACTTTAAAATCTTCGATACGCTTACATCCTCAAAACAAACTTATATATAATATCTAATATAATCCCATATTAAAATCTAAGATAATCTAAAAAATTTTTTTGCTTATCTTTGGCCGTTTGTTGCCAAAAATTACTGGCAAATTTAAGATAAGACATTTTATATTAATATAATAGAGAATATCTTATATCTTAAACAACGCAGTTAAAGTTGAATATAAAAAAACAAAGAATATGAAAAAGAAAAAGATCTGTATATGTACATATTAATACGTATATACAGTGTGTCCCAAAAGTCTTGCAACCCCTAAATATTTTGAAAAATACGCATTTTCGAAAAAAAATACCTAATACAAAAGTTGTAGAGTCAAAAAGATGTATTTACTGATCTTATCAGTTTGATCTTGGGTGGCGTCGTCAAGGTCAGGTCGAGGTCAACTTTACTTTTTTAAATAGAAACATATATTTTTTTATTACGAAATTTTATTCTATGTAAAAAAAATAATACTAGTTTATTATCGTTCAGCTACAATAGCTAAGAAGGAGACTTGGTTTACAAAAAATTATAAAATTTTTATACTTATCCATTCATCCATCCATTCATCCATACAATTTTTACATCTATACATCTTATTTCTATTCTTCTTCGCTTACCATAACTATCTTGAACCTATTTCTACACATAATCTAAAATTATACCTTTTTTCTCACAAGCCCTATCACAGCCCTATCACAGCCATTGGCATTATCGCATTCCTATAATACCTCCTTTCCCTTAACATAAACTATCGCCACTCTTTACTAGATGTAATTTGTTTTCCTGTCTTTTAATTTGTTTTCCTTACTTTCTCTTTTATTTATACATACATTATAATATTTCCACTCTTTATCGCATTCTTATATTATTATGTATTTATACCATTTATATACTATTTATATACCTATACATGTCTTTACCATCTATCCTTTTTCCTTTATTTTTTTCCCACTCTTTCCATATTTTCCTTAAAATCTTTCCTTTAATTGCATCTAATTCATTATTCCATATCCTTTCCTTTCTCCTTTCTCCCGTCCTGTCCATTTCCTCAAACCATCTTCCCACTTCACAAATATACATGTAATGCCTCATATCATCCTGATCCTTGCTGCACAATACACATTTCCTATCTTCCTCCTCTAACCAATATTTATTCTTTAACTCCATATTATCACATCTTAGCTTAACAAGCGCTCTTATCTCTTCTGATCTCATCTTAACCAAACTGCTCTTTTTCAAGTAACTATGTCCCTCCCCTAACTTTCTTATCTCCTTATATCTCTTGTTATATCTGGCCTCCAAAATCTTATTTTCCATCCATTTTGTATTTCTGTATTTTTGTATTTCCCTTTCCCTTCTCATAATCTCTCCTTCTACATTCTAATTCTCCTTCCTTCCTTTTTCTACCCTCTCTAATCCCCGGCCATTTTTGTTATAATATCTTTCCCTTTTCCTCCCATATAAATTTTCCTATTTTCCTTTCTCTTTTTCTCTCCAACATTTTTTTATTAAACTTTCCTCAGTATTATTCCAAATCTTTTCTTCGTACTTTTTCATCATTATACCCCTACCCTATCATTAATTTTTCTATTCCCAGTTCATACATAATTATATATCTCGGAGTACAAAAATCTAACCTGAAAATGCACCTTATATAATCCATCATTATTTTTTCTAATTTTCTTTTTCTTCTCATTCCCATATTTCCCTTCCGTATGCCATTACACTTTGTACCAAGTATTTAAATAGCATCTATTTCCTTTTATATATATATATATATATATATATATATATATATATATATATATATAAGGTGTAGTAAAAAGAAATCCATTATTTTTGCATGAAATTGAAGGCTTTATTTAGCATAGTTAGAATGATCCGATTTAGGTCAAATATGCACCGTTTTGTTCGATAACTTGTTGCCATTTTGAATTCCATTATGCCTCTCTCATAGAAACCCTTGTCCCTATTGGCAAAAAACTGG